CAGGCCACTGCAAGGGAACCTGGAGGACAGGGTGGGAGGAAGGGATAGCCCGGTTCAGGGTTTCGGAAATGTCTCACTGGTAGCTGTGTACAGTGACGTTCTGCCAGCTGTTTATTGTTAATAAACATTGTGCAGTCCCGGTATGAATCTGTACACTGATTCCCTCGCTTTTGATAGCCTAAAATCCTACCTGGCAGAGAGCCTGCCTTTGGTTGTAGCAGGCTTCCGGTGCTGGGCCCTGTGCTAAATGCCTTACATCCAACATTGTTGTTTGTTTGGTTTTTTAAACTGAGGACAGAACGCTCTGCTGTGCTCTAACCCTCCTTTTGAGGCAGGGTCTCCCCAAGTAGACCACATGGGCTCAAATTCAAGATAGTCCTGCCTCGGCCTCCCAGAGTACTGAAATGACGGATAAGCACCGTCCTACCTGGCTCTCCAATGCTTAAAAGCACTCTAGAATGAATTATTATTATTCTATCCATGTTACAGACAAAAGAATTGAGGCTGAGAGGCCAAGTGGCTGCTCAAGGTCAAGTAGGAAGAGTGCAGAGCAGGGATTTTGTTTTGATGTTATATAATACTGAGTTTATTTAAGAGGATCTTAAATGCTAGGGAGAGGAAGAACAGAGTTATTTCAAGCAGAAATCCTGACCTAACTGACGCCGTTTTGTCCAATAAAGCTGTAGCCATTCTGTTCTCTGCCCCTGAACTGAGCCAGATCATACGATTTGTCATCCAACTGAAACATCCCTAAATGCTCTAAAAACAACTTTGCTACACACAACTGCGCTCACCGTAGGATATCCATTGTACCATGGCCTTGAGCTCAAGCTTATCCAGTGTTTTGTAACTTCTGCTTGCTACCTTATAAAAAAGAAAAACGCTCTGTAATAAAAGGAGAAAGTAAAATTCCTTTGGAAAAAATAGTTTGACTTATACCCGTGAATTTAAACATATACTTACATATGACCCTAAAACACATTCTTAGGCTTTTAATCAAGAGAAAGAAAAATATATTTGCCCACAAATACATACCCATGAATATTTAAAGGAGCTTTATTTCCCAATACCCAGTGCCTGGAAATGTTCCAAATATTTAACAACTGAGGGAATAAGTAAGTCTTGGTGTATTCACGCACTGAGCTAAAAATCTGCCATACAAAGAATAAATTATTACACTTGAAACAAAGAAATAAGAGACAAAAGACAATCCAGAGCATTGCTCACTGTAGGTCAGAAAAAAAAAGTTCTTTAGTGACAAACTACAAGTCACTAGTTTCTTGAAGCAATGGATGAGGTTGGGAAACTGCAAAAAGTATGAGGTAAGATTTTATAGTAATAGAAGAATTCGAGATCTTGACTGGGTTGTAGTGGTTTACACGTACACATACTTTTGCCAAAACTCACTTTGACTATATATAAAAATGTAAAATTGAGGCATGTATATATACATATTATATATTTCATGAAGTAGATTAATAAAATATGGAAAGAACCTATTCTCAGAGTAAACACCTCCCATTAAATATATTAATTCCAGCCTTATTCAATAAGATAATAATGTGTCAGATATGTATCTCTTATATCTCAAGTAGCTCATAAATCTAACAGGGAATTAAATGTTTTCAATATACATAGTGATTTGAACATAATGAAGAACACAGGTGTTAATTATGAGTACAATTATTAACTTTCATGTCAGCTATTGGCTATCTGATAAACCATTGGGGAAGTTCCCAGGGGCACTAAAATTTATTATGATACTAACCGATATTTTGCATTACATTATTGGATTCCTGAGATGATGTGTAAAAATCAGAGTAAGAATGCATGAAAGCAA